CAGGATACCCTGTTTGGGATATTCCAGCCAGCCTATACACCCTGGTGTGCCACTAAAACATGCTCAGAAAGGGATTTTTGCATCACCTTTGGCAATTCCATGTATGGGTTTTGTTCATGCTGGGGAAACTCCACAATAGATATAATGGAGATTAACCATATTCCACATTAATAGGAATTACTTCTAAGTAGGGATATTTGTGCCTACACACAGGTGAGAAAGGCAAAGCTCTGAAATCCTTTTAAACCAAGGTAGGAGCCTTTAGCTTTAAAAGCCCTGATCACAGCTGGGCCCCTCAGCAAGCAGAGCTGAACCTTTGGCTACAAGAGCTCAGGAGAGGATTTGTTGGAAGTTTGGGAAGCAAAACCTGCGATCCAAGGGAGAGGGGCACTCCTGGTGGTGATGGTGCAGCTGCCAAGGCCAGGGAGGAGGATAACTGAGCTTCAGAACAGGGTGTGAGGCAGGGAAAGGAGCAGTGAAAACCTCCCTGGGGAGAACTCGGGGTGATCTGAGGGACAGCTCCAGCATTAGTGCAGAGAGAGACCTTCCCCCTAAGTGAGGGAATTCCTGGGAACATGAATTAGCTCAGGTACCTCAATCAGGAGCCACCAGCAGCAGCAGCAGCACAAAAGGCCCTTGGGGATTGCTGATTGATAAGGGCAGCGGGCTCTGGAAGCAAGGAGAGCTGCAGGTGCAGACCAGCCCCTCCTCCTGGGGCCCTGCAGCTCATCCCTTCAGCCACAGGGATGCCAGCCCAGCCCTTAAGCTGCTGTTATTGCCTCCCAGCAGGACACTTAATTCTCCCCAGGCAGGGGGACACTCCTGCTCTCACGTAGTGTTTATTCTTAGAGAGGATCCCAGGGATTTTTCTTGAGCTGGCCCAGGCCCAGAGGAGCAGCCCCAGCATGGCACAGACATTTGCTGTGGCAAGAAGGCAAGAAAAGCTGGGAACTGAGGAGAAAGAACTGCCCAGAGACTTGTTCCTGCCACACAAAGTCCATGGCAGTCAGTATAAAAAGCAAATGACAGGCACAGAGTGAGGCCAAATGAGTGCTCACATCCAACAGCTGAGCCCAATTCCTCCCGAGTGAGGCCAAAGAACAAATTCTACATTGGAGCCTTTCTGTTATCCTGACCTGGTTGTAATGACAAAATTCCTGCTGACTGAGAGATCAACCAACATTAGCTCCCAGTGACCAAGCACATCCAGCACAACCACACTTGGGCAGCAGCTCTCAAAAACAGCTGCAAACTTAAGGCTGCACACTCAGGTTGGTGATGGCTCCAGGTTTTTTTAGTTTTTCTTCTAGGAAACGAGCTCAAATGTTGCAAGGAGAAGAATGCAGTCTTAGTTCAAGTAGAACAGTGCCTGTGTGGCTTATCTGGTTAAAAAATGGGATGTGCTGGTAGGCAGGAGCTTGGGGAGATGCCAAGAGGAGCCAGAGCACGAGGCCTTGTGCTAGTTCTTGGTCTCAAGGAGAGAATTGTCCGTCTCTGCAATCTGATGAGGTGGCAGCAGGGGCAAGAACAGTCCTTTCTGAAATGAATTAATGCAGAAGAACAGCTCCCCCATCCCAAGTGCATGCAGGAAGGCAGGGGGAGGAAGGGAGGTGCTGCTGCAGCCCAACCACCATTGTATTTACATTTCCGTGCTCCTGATAGCAAACACATTCAAGGGTGCCTGGAAAACAAGGCTTTGGCTAGAAAACAAAAGCTGAGATTTCATGAAAGAAAGAGCAATAAAAGACATTCCAGGTGTCCCTGCAGCCTTATCAGGCATGGTGTGGTGGTTTCCTTAGAGAATGATTCACTTTCTTATCCCAGGTGTGGCTGCAGCGTCCAGTGCCACACTGAGGTGCCCTTGGACACAGCAACTCTCTTCCAAAAGAGGAAAAAGAGGGGACTAAATAAATAACTATTCAGTGTAGAACTGAAAATAAAAAACAAACAAATAAACAAACCTTTTGATTGTAGTTCAGGGTGCTTCCCACATCACTTTAGGAAAGTAAAACCTTAAGTGGTAAAGTGACTCAGAAACCTCAAATCCCTGAATGTTTGGGTTGGAAGGGACCTTAAAGCCCACCCAGTGCCACCCCTGCCATGGCAGGGACACTTCCACTGTCCCAGGCTGCTCCAGCCCTGTCCAGCCTGGCCTTGGGCACTGCCAGGGATCCAGGGGCAGCCACAGCTGCTCTGGGCACCCCGTGCCAAAAACTGACCCTAAAGATGTGGGTTTGTGAGTGCTTCTTCCCAGTTAGAGCCATTACACAACAAAACATGAATTTATCCAGCAGGTAACATTTTCAGAAGTGTTTTCTCCCCATGTGTACACCAACACAAGAACCAAATGAAGATCCAGGTGACCAGACATTCCCCTGGGCCTGGCTGAGGGAAGTGAGCAGGAGGAACTGGGGTACTCCTGAGGGGCAGTGTGGGATAACAGCTTCAGGCTGGCACAGAACCCAAGGTGAATGCAAGCAGGAGCAGCCCAGCTCCCAGCAGGATGCCTGCTCTCCCAGGATGTGGGGAGGAAGCTGCTGCTCTTCATCCTCTCCATCAGTGAGCCTGGCTGAAGCATTCCTGGATCAATCCCTCCAGGAAGCACTTCAGCTGCTCAGTGCAGGCTGTGGGAAATCCCTGCTGGCTCTGCACCTCCTGAAACCTTGCAACGAGGACTGTGGAGCTGTGGGTGCCTGGGACTGCAGGGAGCAGTTCTGCCACAACTCCCAGTTTGTACCACGGAGAAATGCAAGGAGGAGAATCCTGATGGCAAAGTCACCTCCCTGGACGAGGTGGGAGGTACAACACAACTTGTCAGAGCTCCAGGGGTGCCTGGAGAGGACTCTCAGGTGTGGCATTCAGTTTTAGGAGCTCCTATGAGGAGCAGGCAATTGGTCTCTTCCAACTGGAGCTACTCCATGAAGTCCAAATCGAGTCCAGGCATCCCAGGAGCCTGGCAGACCTTCACACCACACTGGGCCAAGCCAAGAGAGGTAGAAAAGAGGAAAAATAAAACCCACTCAAGACTGGCAGGTGCAGGGAGGAAAACACCAAGCTCTCCCCTTCCTCTGTCACCTTTGCTGTCCAGCTCCTCCCTGAGGCGGAGGTGACACCCTGTGACCCCTGCAGGTCCACTGAGGCCACGGGGAGGGCACGTGGGGCACTCTGGGCATGGCCCCCCCTCCAGCCCACCCAGGGGAGATAAGCCATCTTCCTTGGCTTCTCTTCAAGTGGCTTTGAGACAACGACTTAAGATGGTTTGGCCAGCAGCCACAGCCCTGGAGTGACAGCAGGAGCTGGGGATGCCCCAGGGAGCCTGGGCACAGCCACCTCAGGAACTGGGAGCACCTTCCAGCCACCTCAGGAACTGGGAGCACCTTCCAGCCACCTCAGGAACTGGGAGCACCTTCCAGCCACCTCAGGAACTGGGAGCACCTTCCAGCCACCTCAGGAACTGGGAGCACCTTCCAGCCACCTCAGGAACTGGGAGCACCTTCCAGCAACCTCAGGAACTGGGACACAGGAGCTTCTTCCAGTCCCACCATGAACAGCAGCATCAACCCCACTGGAAATGAAGAACTCTGCACCTACGGCGTTATCTCTGCATCTGTTGTTTAAGGACACTGGAAAAAAAAGGCACCTGAGGAATAATTTTATCCCATAACTAAGTTTTAGGAGACTTGTGAGTCCCAGGAGATGCCAGGGGATAAAGGAGGTGTGATGAGCTCTGTCCATGTGGCCCCTCTGCACTCCTGACTGGGGGTCCCTGCATGGAACCAGCACTGCCACTGACAGCTCAGGCCTTTTCTACAGGAAAATGCAGAGGGATGGCTCAAACAGGGAAGAAGACAGCAGAAATTCCTCTCAGGACTTCAACACATAACCAGAGTTTGAGAACAATCCCAAACTGCTCTGCAGAAGACACGTGGCTCTCTCAGTCCACACAAAAATGAGGAATAAATGGTAATTCTTTCCCCAAAGCACATTACATGGGCATCCTGACTGCAGGGCTGATGGCAGATTCCAGAACTGGAGCTTTGCTGTGCTTTCCCCACAGGAAGCTAGGATAAAAAACCTGGATGATCTGCTGCTCCCAATTCCTAACAAATCAAATCAGACTTGTTTTTCTTAGCCTAGTTTACCCATTTTAATCTTTTCTAGTCCTCTTAGTCTGATAAAAAGAAGATTTGAATGAGCAAGTTAAACAACATGTGAGCCCTTTGAAGCAGAAAAGGCAAAGAAGCAAAGCACAAGTGGCCAGAAAGGATAAGCCTGGAGTTCCACACCAGCCCTGTTATCCCAAACAGAACCCCAAAAATGTCTGAATTTCAATAAATACCTGAAAGATTGGAGCTCCTCTGCTCTGGAGCCAGGCTGGGCGAGCTGGGAATGTTCCCCTGGAGAGGAGAAGCTCCAGGGAGAGCTCAGAGCCCTGCCAGGGCCTGAAGGGCTCCAGGAGAGCTGGAGAGGGACTGGGGACAAGGGATGGAGGGACAGGACCCAGGGAATGGCTCCCACTGCCAGAGGGCAGCAATGGATGGGAGATTAGGAATTGGGAATTCCTGGCTGGGAGGGATAGTAATGGAATTCCAGAGCAGCTGTGGCTGCCCCCGGATCCCTGGCAGTGCCCAAGGCCAGATTGGAGCAGCCTGGGACAGTGGGAGGTGTCCCTGCCATGGCAGGGGTGGCACTGGATGGGCTTTGAGGTCCCTTCCAGCCCAAACCTTTCTGTGATTCTGTCTGGAAGGATTTTAACAGGCAGCATGTAAAAAGAGCAGTAATTAGCAGTAATTAGAAGTTTTTTCAGAACAGGATGGGAAGGTGAGTGCATTCCAGCCACGCTTGCTCCACAGAAGTCCCCAGTGGCAGAAATCTCACCCCAGATCTCTGGATGGTGGCTGCATTCCCAGCACAGCTGTTCTGGTGTGCACACACAGCTGTACCAAACTCTGCTTTTGAATGCAGCATTTCCTGTTGGTCATTAGAAAATCAGTTCCTACCTCACGAGCAGGTGTTCCCTGGGCAGGTACTTCAGTCCTCAGAAACTGCTTATCTGCAAGACACAAGGGAGAAGGAACTGTGTGACCACAGAGCCCTGGGATAGCAGGAATTGGGGATGCTGGGACATGAGTGGTGGTACTCAGAATTAACTGAGACCTGGGAGATTTTGCTGCAGTCCCCCATCAGTGTTGCAGGCAGCTTTTCTTGGTGTTCCTTCCTCAACAGGAGTAAGATCTCAGTGTTGCTGGGGTCAGGAGTGAGGGAGAGGATCCTGCCCCTCTACTTAGCCCTGGTCAGGCACAGCTGGGCTACCGTGTCCAGTTCTGGGCTCCTCAGTCCAAGGAGCTGCAGGAGAGGGCCAAGCAGAGGCCACAGAGCTGATCAGGGCTCTGGAGCATCTCTGGTGAGCAGAGACTGCAGAGCTGGGCCTGCTCAGGCTGCAGGAGGGAAGGCTCACAGGGGATCCCATCAATCCACACAAATCTCCCAAACTGTGCCAGGAGAAGGTGCCAGGCTCTGCCCAGCGACAGGACAAGGAGCAATGGCCACAAAGCAAACCACAGCAGCTCCAGCTCAGCAGGAGGAAGAGCCTCTCTCCATGGAGGGGCAGAGCCCTGGGACAGCTGCCCAGGGGGGCTGGAGACACCCCAAACCCACCTGGACACACCCCAGTGACCCTGCCCTGGCAGGGGCTTGGCCTGGCTGACATCCAGAGGTCCCCCCACACTCCAGCCACCCTGTCATTGCTATTTCTGTGCTTGCTATTGCCCATCAACACTTGCTCAGCTGTTCAGGATATTCCATGAAAACTGTGAGCTACTTTTCCCTCGTTGCACACCTTAATAGGTTTCTCCAAACACAGCATTAAAGCTGAATTAAGCCAGGCTGATCAGGACATCCCTGCCCTAAGCAGCATTTCAGGTGCTCAATGAACGGCTTAAGAGCTCACAGGGCCCCTGTCACACCTGCCCAGCCACCTGTGACAGCCACATCCCAGTCACGAGCCCACCTTCATCTGCTCTGGCTGTTTTCTCTACTTTTGCCACGATTCCAGTGCAGCTGCTCCCACCAGATTTACCAGGAACCATCTCCTCACCTGGGTGTCGTCTTCCAAATTTTTCTACCCAATATTTTACATTTTGTTGATAATGTTTCTTAATTGTGAAGCAATCACCAAAAAACCAAAAAATCTATCCCAGTAATTACTCCTTCTATCCGCCTTGAAGAAGAGAACACAAACTGAGCCACAGAGTTGAAGTATTTCAATCCACATGGAGAAATAAATGTCCAACTTGTTCTCCACCACTGCAAGTCATCAAGCCAATCTCCCAGGAAAAAATCATCTCAGTACCTGCTCAGCAGCCAGACAGAAACACCAATCGTGTTCCTCTCCCCACAGATGGACATTTCGTGTTCCAGGGAAGTGTAACACCAGAGCTTTTAGCTAAACGAGGACACAGCCCAGTGAAAAGTGTCAGTTTAGCTTCAGTAAAGCACTCAGGAGTGAGCAAAGCCTTCCAGAAGAGTCCTGCTCCCTTCAGAAGGGCTGGGAAGGGGAGTTCCCACATTCATTATGGAAAGGAGGAGTCTCTGGTGCAGGATTCAGCTGCACCAGGTGCTCAGTCCCTTCCCCAGAGGGCCACAAACCAACAGCACACCTCCCATCCCCACATCCTTACAGGCAGGAGAGCCAGCCTGTGACAAACTGGGACATCAGGGTCCTTCTCTCCAGCTCCTTCCCACGAGAGAACAGCCCCATCCCCTCCCCACTGGCTGCTCCCCCGGCGTCCAGCCCACAGTTCTTGCTGTGATCCAGTCCTCTGCACAGAAACCACCAAAACTTTACCTTATTTGTTAAGAAAAACAACCCAGAGACTTCACTTTTCAGGCAGAATTGAAGAAAATGAGAAGCAGAAGCTCCTTTTTTAGTGCTGCTCCAGTTCAAATAGGGCAGTGGCTGGGTCAGCCTGGTAACTGTGAGATAAAATCCACCACAGGTCTGGGAGTTGGTCTGGGCAAACCAACTTTTTCTTTGGTAAAATGTACCTCTGGTTGCTCTCTAAACAACCCCTGAAGTGCAGAATTCCTGAACTGTGGGAGTCTTAACTACCCCTCTTGTAAAATTGATGCCCTTTAAGTTAAGGGGGGCTTTTACTGATAAGAAGAAGTGTTAAACATCTTAAAAGATTTGCTGAAATTGAAGGTGTGGCTGCAAAGATTTCTTATGTGTTGGGTCTTCAAATAATCTGAGAGACTTTACCCCATCCCCTCACGGGATAAACTGAGGAAGACTCTGGCTGTTTCAGAAACCTTGCTAAACAGCAGGAGAAAATCCATATACAAAGCAAATCCCAACTCCTGTGGCCCATGGTTAACCAGGGCTGTTCTCCACTTTGGAGAAATGCTTCTGAGAACTGATTTAAGGATTCTGACCCCAAACTCCCAACTTCCTTCCTTCTTCCTTCCTCCCCAGCACTGTTTCCCCACAGCTGCCACGGAAAAGCAGCACCAAGGCAAAGCAGGGATCTCATTAATGCCACTCCCCACTGGGTCCTGCCTGGCATGCGCCCTGTTCGTGTTTGCTGTCCCTGTAAGATCCAGTTCCACATCCTGCACCAGTACTTCTTGTTCCTCAGCTCCTCTGCTCCCCATCCTGTTGGTACAGAACATTCCAAGGGCTTCTCCAGCTCCAGAGATCCTCCTCCCAGAAAAACTGCATCCCCTGCATCCCATTAACACACTGAGCTCACCAGACACAGCCCATCTGTAACACACCGGGTTTCTGAGGAGTTCCAAAATCATAGCCACATTTCAGGGCAAACATTAACAGCTCCCTTCGGGTTTCTGTAATTTTGAAGGTTTTTACTACTTTTAGCAGCACTTACTCATCTCTACCAGTTTGCAGTGGCAGCTCTTTGGAGGATGAACTCCCAGCTCAGCCTGGTCCTGGGGAAAAGGACCAAGCCCATCTTGGTAAGCCACCCAAAAATGATGTGAGCAGCTCTCCACATCCACCTCAGCAAAGGATCAGCCTCCAGCTCTCCAGTTCCCGACCCAGCACTTTGTAGCACTGATCCCAGCCAGGTGGAATGCACTCCAGTGCCACTGAGGTTACCACAAAGAAAGAATGTGCCATTCCCCATCTCAGAAGCCCTTATCAGCTCCCTTAAACTCCCTAAACAAGCAGCACTTTCTGTTTCCCCACCCCAAATTCAGCACTGCTCCTGTGCCTTGCAGGAGAAAGCCCCTCAGCCTTGGAGTTCCTGTTCTCTCACCCTTCAGGCCTGGCTGCCAAAGCTCTGGATAAACAGCTCCCTTTAAATAGCTCCTGTCTCCAACACACACAGGGCATGAAGATCACTCGATAGGGAAGCCAAGAGGGGCGTTGCCCACCCCACTCCAACATTCCACATGCAAAGCAGTCCCAGGGTGTCGGATGCCGGCTCCAAAGGCAAAGGCTGGTGAACCCTGAGCTAAATATACACAGTGGCCATGAAATCCAGATTGGGCAGCTCAGATTTCCATCCCTGGCTCTTCCCAGCAATAACTACAACAACCTGACAAGGAGTCACAGAATGGGGTGGGTGGAAGGGACCTTAAAGATCTCATTTCAATCCCTGCCATGGGCAGGGACACCTTCCCTCAGAAGGAAAATCGCCTTTATGGACACCTACATTGTCTCCTTACCTGTTCCTGAACTCACCAAGATCCTAAACCAAGAGTTTATTCACAAATATGATGGAATTTTTTTCCTTCACAGGCACCACTGCCAGATACTCCATGAATTTTTGTTCAGCATCAAGCTCCTGCTCCCACACTGACATGAGGCATCTGAATAAAGCTGACAGTAAATCCTAGGAGAAATGGATAAGGGAACTGGGAAGGGGCTCAGCCTGGAGAAAAGGGGGATCAGGGGGATCTTGTGGCTCTGCACAGCTCTGACAGGAGGGGACAGCCAGGGGAACAGGGACAGGAGGAGAGGGAACAGCCTCAGGCTGGGGAGGGCAGGCTCAGCTGGGACATCAGGAGGAATTTCTCCATGGAAAGGGTGGTCAGGGCTTGGAAGAGGCTGCCCAGGGAGGCTGTGAGGTGTCCAAGGAACACCTGGATGTGGCACTCAGTGCTGGGGACAAGGAGGGGATTGGGCACAGCTTGGACTTGGAGATCTTTCCCAACCCAAACGATTCTGGGATTTGAAAGAGACTGCTTTTACATTTAACTCCAGGCTTTTGAGTGGAGCTTCTCCCAAGAGAAGTTAGACTAATAATTTAAAGAGTCTTCAAAACACAGGATGTATTTCCACTGCACTTGAAGAGTGAATCATTTTTTAGGGAAATATTCATGAGCAGCAAGCCAGAGCTCCACGGCAGTCACGCAAGTCCTGCTGCTTGGAGAAGGAGATGCTCCTCCCCATTCCCAGGTAGGACATGGAAGGATGAAGGCTTTCCACTGCAAAGCAAGCAGATATTCTTTGGCAGCATCCACATTTCATCCTTATTAGAGGGGACAGGCTTTAAAACCAGAGTCTTCGGCAGCGATTCGGGCTGACAAAGTTAAAACCCAGTGAGGTTCATAGAGTCAGACAGGAAATAAGCAGCTGCACAAGTGGGGCTGTTTTTATAGCACCACGGATTTTGGGATGTCAGGAGCAATTTGAAAAGAAGATACAACGTGCAATGACTCTGGGAAGTTGAGGAGTGACTCATGGGTTATCACAGTGCCAGTGCCAAGGACCAGCCAAGGACTTTCCCAAAGGGCTCCGGAGGGCTGCACCCACCTGGGAAGGAAAGTTCCAGAAGCCAGAGCCCTCTGGTTTGTCAGTGCCCGAGACAGGGACGTGGGAGAGACTGTGTTACACATAAACTCTATGTGACAGGAGGCTGCAAACACCCAGACAAGGCTGAGACGAAGGACTTCGACACAAGCGATGCGTGTAGAAAGATTCAAAGATCTTTCTGAAGTGTCAAAACAAAACCTTAACATCCAGATTCACACCACAAAGAAACCCAGCACCAAAAGCCAAGCAGAAATTGCCCTTGGTGAGAATCAGCA